ATATATATATAATTTTTTTAATTATTATATTTTTTAATATAGGGTCTCCCTGTGACCCCAGCTGGCCTGAAACTCACTATGTAGAGCAGACTGGCCTCGATCTCATAGAGATCCATCTGCTTCTGCCTCCCAAGCAGATAATCATAATTTTTAAAAAACAGCTTTATTATTAGAGTGTGTGTGGGTTGTAGGTAAGAAGGCAACTTTGTGGAGTCAATTCTTTTCTTCCATTTACCTGGGTTCTGGGAATGTAACACAAGTTGTCAGGCCTGCACAGCAAGTGCCTTTACCCACTAATCCAACACTGGCCCTCCTTAAAATTTATCTTGTTTCCTCCTTATGTCCACTTGAAATGTGTTTGAATTATTGATGTTTGTAAATAAGATATATTATAGGTGCTCCTCTCTCAACCCACTCCATTCCCTCCCAAACATGTGACAGACTAGTCAAGGCAAATTTATTTATTGGTTTATTTTTTTCTTTTTGTGCTGAGAACCAAACCTGGGGCTTTGTGCATGCTAGGCAACCATTCAACCACTTGACCTAGGTCCCCAGCAAATATCTCATCTTATCACATGAAGCTGTCCCTTCTAGTCCCAGCTTCTTTAAATCATTAAGAACAATTTTTGCAGGGTCTGGTGGCACACACCTCTAATCCCAGAACTCTGTGGAGATGTAGGCAGGAGGATAAAGATTTCATGGAAAACTTGGGTTATTATTTCTTAGAGCCTGTCTTAAACAAACAAAATTTTTGATTTGTGAAATATTTATAGACAAGTAAAAGGTTCAATCAAATTTCTTCTAAGCCTATGCAAGAAAAATGTGGGCAACATTTATGGCATAAATCCAGAGCTCAGTATCCCACCCCAACCCCTTTTAAAAAATATTAGATCTACAAGCACTATTGACATCTCAGTTTTGAAATAAGGCATTATTACTACAAAAGACAATGGAAAAGGAATAAGCCCTATGATCTTCTTTGGTCAGTCTCAAGGAGAGGTATAAGCTTCAGAAAGAATCAGGGTTGTAGCTCCAGGTTAACAAAATGGGCTTCCTTCATCTGCTGGGCTAGCTGGCACTCATTCCAGAAAATTTAAGTCCTTTCTTTTGTCTAACCAAGTACTCAGCACCTACAGGAGCAAGGCACAGACAGCAAGCCATGAATCTTAAAAGCTACAGAGAATAGCATGCAATTTTATTTTTTTTATTGGAAAATAGATAAAACTATACTTTTAAAAGTATGATACTGCCTAGAAAAGAAATCCTTGTTTCTTTGAAGTTACTATATCTTATCCCCTAGAGATAGGAAAGTGCCCTCATACATCATTATCAACAACTGCAACAACCGACAAATGGACAGTGATTCCAGCCCCCAATTTACATTTTTAACTTTCCAACTTGAGACAAAGCAGAAGTTCTCATTATTTGTCCATCCCCAGCTATCTTGCTACCTTGTCTTCCTAGATGACCTCATTTCATTAAATATTAAAGCTGGACCTACTAAGACTTGAATTGGAGTTTCCCAAACCAAAGGGTACATCAACACTTAAGGTCCTTCAATCATCTCTGTAGATAAATTCTAAGAACACAAGGTCACCTCAGCAACACCTTTATTTAAAAAGACTCTTGGAAATCAGATTCTAGAAATGACACTCCTTTCTCTTGCAGTGCTTTCTATATTGTACCTGAATCTGCTCCAAGACTTCCTGTTGCATCTCCACAGCCGTATGGTAAATATGATGATCAGAGTCATTGTACATTACAGCATTTTGGAACATCAGCATTAGATCCCGTTGGAACTGGGCCATGGTATGAATGCGTCCCTTAGACAGATTCCTCTTCAGGGTAGTTAAGTCCATGGGTCTGCAGATAGCCAAGAGAAACCACAGGAACTCAAACCTTAATGTACAAGATCAGGAGGCTAAGGCAGGAGTATTCTGGAGACTGAGGCAGGAGCAGTACCATGAGTTTGAGTACATCCTGGGCTGTATGGCGAGTTCCAAGCAAACTAGCATATGCTACACAAGACCCTGTCTTCAACAGCCAGGTGTGGTGGGTGGTGCACATCTTTAGTCCTAGCACTCAGGAGGCAGAGGCAGGCAGATTTCTGTGAGTTCAAGGCCAGCCTGGTTTATATAGTGAGTTCCAGGCCAGCTGGGGCTACAGGGAGACCCTGTCTCAAAAAGACCAATAAAAAAACAAAAGCAAGCAAGCAAGAAAATGTAGTGACCTAATGAGCTCTCTTGGAGAACTAGTTCATAGTGAAAAATAGTAGCAAAGATAACAATCTCCATCAAATAATAAAATAGCAGCAGAAAATATCTCTCAGGACAACCATTATTTTGAGTACATTCTATGGTAACTTAATTCTCTCAATAAACATATAATGTAGATATTTATCATCATCATTATCATCATCATCATTTTGGAATCAACTAGGCCTTGAACCTAGGATCTCACACATGCTAGGCAAGCGCCCTTCTACTGAATTAGGTCCCCATCCCTTCTTTTACTTTTGAGACAAGATCTCATTAAGCAGGCCTTGAGTACAATCCTCCCGCAGCCTCACAGGTAGCTGTGACTATAGGGTTTCTGCAACTGTCACTATGCTTTTGAAGACAGGATCTTGCTGGGCATAGTGGCATATCCTTGTAATCCCAGCACTTGAGAGGCAGAAGCAGAAGGATTGCTTGTCTTGTTGCCTGTGTGAGGTCTTCAACTCCTGCCTCAGCTTCCAAAGAAAGGCAAGGTTTCATTACCATTCCCATTTGTCAGTAAAAGAAACTGAGATTTAAAGAATTAACTACTGCTCTTTTCCAGCTGGAACCATTAGGGTGCCAAAGAGGAGAAAAACAGTTTCTGCTCTGCGCCAGAAAATGTAAGAAAAGGTGTTTCACGGTTGAAGGTAAATCACCTGAAAGAGAAATTTGTCCAAAAAAATGCTCAGGGGACTGTAGAAGTGGTTCAGTGGTTAAAAACACCGGCTGCTCTTCCAGAGGACCTGGGTTGGGTTCCAAACACCCACATGGTGGCTAACAACCACTCTTAACTCCAGTTCCAGGAGATCTGATGCCCTCTTCTGGCCTCCATGAGCTTTGCACACATGGGTACATATATACATACAAGCAAAACATACACCTAAAATAAAAATGAATCAAAATAATTTTTTTACTATTTTTTTAATTTTTAGAAGAAACATTTCATTACAGTTTTAACATAATAACAATTTCCAGAGCAAAGATACATCTCTTTCAAAAGTAGCTATAAAATTTTTAGGTTCACAGTTGAATTATTACAGTTATACAATATTGAACTCAGTATAAACCCTGTAAGACATAAAATTGAATGAGTTTTTAACCTTTAAAAAAGATCTCCATTTTAAAATATACTGTTTCTTACAGAAAGACTCATTGTTTTTGCTAATAACACTTAGATGTTGGCGCATGCGTCTCTAATCTCTATGTATCTGATTATTACTAGTCATAGTCAGTTGCACTCAGATCCTTGGCACCTGTGTATGGATATAAAGTCATCAGGTAGATTTCAATGATAATGTTTATCACCTCTACTAATTAACATGATGTAAATTTTTATGCTTCCTACAAATATAACTCATTTTTTAAAATCTGTTGCTTTTTGTGTGTGTGTATATCACACAGAACATCCCAAACCATCATATTCAACTATACACCCACTTCCCAGATGGCACCCTCCCATAGACTTCCTCCCCCAACTACAGCCCATACACTCTGATATCCCTGCTACTGTATGGTGTGTTGTCGGCACCCCAAGCCATTCCCCACTACTTGCCCTTCTGGTGAATCTAGTCAGCCTGTCTAGAGGTTTTTGTTTGAGGAGGGTCAGCTGTTCCTCAACTAGCAGCAATCAGTTGTCAATATTCCTTTAGACAAGATTGGGGTCTGCTGTTCATTTTCTCATTTTTTTAAATGTTTTATTATTTTTATTTTATGTATATGAGTGTTATGCCTGCATGTAGGTAAGTACATCCATGTCATGCAATGGCTGCGGAGGACAGAAGAGGCTGTCGGATCCCCTGGAACTGGAGTTATGGACAGTTGTTAGCTGCCATGTGGATGCTGGGATTTGAACCTAGGTCTTCTGCAAGAACAACCAGTGTTCTCTTAACCACTGAGCCATCTCTCCAGCACCATTTTCCCAGTTTTAAGGTGAGTTACTATCTGGGAGTCTCTTGGCCATCCTGGCCAACAACTCAAAAGAAGGTATCTCCTATCTGGCATTGTTTCTTGTTACGTAGCCTTTAGCTATGCATATGGACTCTTAAAAAATTATATTGGCCCCTTTAATCTTTGGTTATACTTTCCTTTTGGGTGTTTAAGGCCATACAGTTGGACCTGATAAACCAATTTATTTTTACTCTTAAGGCTGTTTGAGGATCTGTTCCTCAGGAGTCACATGGGCTTAGGAGGAGCCCCTGGCTCCTTTTACCAGTTCCATCTACATGAAGATAAGCCAAAGGTCCTGCTCAACCATGGCTGGCTTTGCTTGGAATCATGGAGGAAATGTTTCCTCTGGGTTGACCCTCCATTTTGTAGACTGGACACTGGTTCAAGTCCATCTCATGGGGTCTCCATGGCTTCCTTGATCAAGAGGGCAGGTGACTCACCACAGTTACAGGACATTTTGAGAGATGCTCATAGTCCCCTGAAACTAGTCGCCTAGGAGGGCAAGGAGCAGAAACTGTCTTTTATGCCCCTCTGACCAAATTAGTATAGGCCTCAAAGTATGTCTGTTAAACATCCAAGAAAGTTAGTTCCACCAGTCTGGTATTTTTAATTACCATGCACCATGTAGATAAAGCTTGGACAAAGACCAATTGTTCTTAGATAAACCTTGCCTAGACATATATTTCTTGATCTGGTATGTATAATTTGTCAGTAGATTGTTGGACTAATATGGTTCCCTCTGGTTTTTAAAACTAGCTAGACATTATTTATCTCTCGCATTGTCTAACCCTTCCATCATGGTTTCCCCAATTAAGGTGCCCCCATTTTTCCCATTTCTCCCTTAAAAATACCCTTCTGCTGCTGGGCGTGGTGGCACACGCCTTTAATCCCAGCACTTGGGAGGCAGAGGCAGGCGAATCTTTGTGAGTTCAAGGCCAGCCTGGTCTACATAGTGTGTTCCAGGAAAGGGGGGGCTAAAAGGAGCCCTTGTCCCAAAAAAAAAAAAAAAACAAAAAAAAAAACAACCTTCTCCTGTGGTCCTACCTCTCTTGAGCTCCTTCTTTCCCTTTATCCCCTAGGTTCCTTGTATACCCTTCCCTCCCCTCTCCCTGAAACTAACCCAATTTTTATCCATATCTCCCTTATTAACACCTGTTTCCTACTGTTCTTCTTTTTCAGATTCTTTCTTTCCCTTTAACTCCCCCTGGTTCCTTTCCATTATCCTGGTTCCTGTAGTTCTGTCTGGATACATACTCATCAGGATTTGGTGCTAGGATCCACATATGAGGGAGAACATATGTCATTTTTTTTTTTCTGAGTCTGTGTTACTTAGTATAACAGTTTCTAGTTCCATCCATTTACCTGCAAATTTCATGATTTTCTTTCTTTACTGCTGAGTAAAAATCTACCATATAAATGAACCACATTTTCATTATCCACTTGTCCGTTGAGGGGCACTTAGGTTGCTTCTATCTCTTAGCTATTGTGAAAAGAGCAGCAACAAACATGCATGTACAAGTGTCTCTGCAATAGGATGAGTTCTTTGGGTATATGCCAAGAAGTGGTATAACTGGGTCAAATGCTAGGTTCATTTGTAGTTTTTTAAGAGTTCTCCACACTGCTTTCCATAGGGGTTGAACAAGTTTACAGTGCCACCAGCAGTGGATGAGTGTTCCCCTTTCCCCACATCCTCTCCAACATTTGGTATCATTAGTTCTCTTGATCTTAGCCAGTCTGACTAGGGTAAGATGAAATCTTAAAGACGTTTTAATTTTCATTTCCCTAATTACTAATGATATTGAACATCTTTTAAGATGCTTCTTAGCCATCTTTATATCTTCTGTTGAGAACTCTCTGTTCAGCTCCTTAGCCCATCTTTTAATTGGGTTACTTCCTTTCTTGTTTTTTGAGTTCGTTATATATTCAGGATGTTAAACTTCTGTCAGATGTGTCGCTGGTGAAGATTTTCTCCCATTCTGTGGGTTTTCCTCTTCACTTCCCTGGTTGCCTCCTTTGATGTACAGAAGCTTTTTAGTTTAATGAGGTTCCATTTGTTGATTCTTGACCTTATTTCCTGAGCAACTGCTGTCTGGTTTAGAAAATCCTTTCTTACACCTACATCTTGTAGGTTTTTGCCAATGTTTTCTTCTAATAGTTTCAGAGTTTCAGGCTTTACATTGAGGTCTTTGATCCATTTGGAATTGACTTTTGTGCAAGGTGAAAGACAGGGGCTTAGTTTCATTCTTCTACAGGTGGAGATCCAGTTTTGCCAGTACCATTTGCAGAACATGCTCTTTCCTCCAGTCAATGTTCTTGGCCCCTTTGTCAAATATCAGGTGGCTGAAACTGCATGTACTCATATTTGGGTCTTCAGTTTTGATCCATTGATCTACGGGTCTATTTTTTGCCAGTACCCTGTTGCTTTTATGACTATAGCTCTGTAATAGCTTAAAATCTGGTATAGTAATCCCACCGGCATTGCTCTTAGTGCTCAGGGTTGCTTTGGCTATCCGAGGTCTTTTGTGCTTCCATATGAATCTTAGGATGGTTTTTTCCAATTCTGTGAAAAATCACGTGATGATTTTGATTGGCATTGCATTGAATCTATAGCTTTTGGTAGGATGGTCATTTTCACAGTATTAATTCTTTGAATCCATG